CTACTTTTCACATTATCATTACCCCAACTTTTTTTCTAGTTCCTCTGCACTTACCTTGTAGTAATGTGGGAACTGATGCCATCGTTCCCGTATCAAAGTCAGATTCTTTGACTCGAACATTCGACCCTTCAAATCATGTACAGATGGTTCGCTATAAGTCGCATTGGCCAGTTGACCCTGAAACATACGATTATGAAATTGTAGGGGATAAGTATATTTCAGCCTTATTCATGTTAGAGAACTTACTTTTCTGGGTTTCCACCAAAAGTTGATAAAAAGCTCATTAGTAACATAGAATGGACTGTACTCGGCAAGGGTGAATGTGTTCCAATCGTCGAAATCAAACACTCGCTGGGCTACTTCGGCATCGTTGCCAGTTCCCCACCAGTTGTAGGAGACATTCATGCGATCGTCAGTTGATGCGTACTAAATGAATATATTTTATTAAAGGCTCCTATTAAGAGCGATTTGATTTCAGAGGAGGACAATAGCTAGGTAGTTCTGAAAATGGAATTATCAGATTAAGCCCACTTGTGCAACTAAGGGCAAAGTTCATTTGCAAGATAAAGAATTATACCAAAAGAGGTTTAAAACGGATATCTGTTCCAAACACGCACACACATTAGCTATTTTTCTCCTTTGAGGATTATAACACGAAGAGAGAGCACTACTTCACTTTATGTGTAGAGAGTGAAACAGGAACTTTTGTTGTTGGAGAAACACATTTCCATAAAGTCATCGAATAAGACATTTCGATTCTTTACGCGAATCTCTGTTTCACTAAATTATGCGATGTAAATGAGAAAGCAGATTCGGTAACCTAGATCGTAGAAAAATTGCGTGCTTTACATACTAAGACCTTTGTAGGTGACGTTGCAGGTTGCCTTGAGCTCTTAGAAGAAACCTCAACCATAATCAGATCAGCCCTACAGAACTAATTATACCTAAGCTTTTTCGCCTCTTTTTTTTTTCACGGGTTTGGCAGCAGGATCATTCCTAGTTCCCTTGAACTTAGAAAGAAAATTTTGCGAGGATACCCTTTTATAAATCCATTTATCTACGAAAAACGCGATTTTCATAAAAGCGCAAATTGAAAGACCAGGACTGATTGATCAAAAACAAACAGTGATGAATGATAAATCATACCCGTGAATGATATCAAAATGATG